CGCCGCCATTCCCCGCCAACCCCGCCCCCTTTCCGCCCCCCAGCTGGCTGCAGTGCTGCTCCAGCAGACCCATCACAGGGATATAATCCCCTTCCCCTCTCTCCCGTTTCCCGGCCTGCAAACACGCATGGGGCTCACAGGAGCTCCAATTGTCTGGCTGGCTGGCACTCACAGGAGCTCCAATTGTCTGTCTGGCTGGAACACTTCCGACTATCAGGAGCACCGGACCACTGGATGCCAGACAATTGGAGTTTTACCGTACTAACATCAGTGGGACAACAGTTGGATCCTATGAAAAGGGAGTCAGTTATAACCAGACTCTGGATGTGACCAATGTCTGCAACATATATTGAATGGAGTGTCAGCTGTTCTACTTCCTATTAGCACACTGAACAAATATGAACTAAGAAGTATAATCCATTTGCTGTGTGCAGAGCCAGTTGGTACGAATCATTTCCCATTAGTAGTAGCTAGAGGCTATGGTCAGAGCCAACTGCAGATAGCTACACCTCCACCTGCAAATCCCTGCTTAAATATGCTGAGCTGGCTGCCTACGCAGAACTAGAGAGGTTAAGAAGCTTAGGCTAGGTCTACACTGATTTTAGCTATTGGGTGTAGCTACACCAATTCGTCATAGGCCCTGTTTGAAACACACCATACCTTTACACGTCCACATGTCAGGAGCTGAGAAATCCTTTCATCGGCAAGTATAAAAGAGCCAATTGCAGGGCCATCCAAGTTTTCTGCATTCCTGGCTTGTATGAAAAATCCTTCAAAAACTGGACCAGATAAACTAACTGAAATAAGGAGGGGTGAAAAAAGAGTTAAGATATTTCCAATGTAATCTATGAAGGTGAAAATGAAACATGCTTCCCCCGCCCCCAAGCTTTAGCAACGGCCATGGTTTCACGTTATTTTAGAGGTTAACTACCCTGACTTGGATCAACACTCATTAGCATCATCAGGACATTTCAACTTCCTTAGGATGTAACTGTCTATGGTGCTTGATCCAGGTAGCCACAAGGAACCTACAGAAGGTCAATGTGAGACAAGACCATAAAACAATGTCTTTGATCACTTTACTTTACAACAACCACAATGCTGGACACAATACCTTTTATATGGTCTCCTGGTCTAAATACAGTCACATTCACTGAGATAGTGTGCACAGGTGATGGTTGTGGAAAATGTCCATGGAGAGGCCTCATACTACTGCAGGCTTCTTTTACTTTTCCATTTGGATAACCAGCCACAGGAACAGAAAGGAAGGTAAATATCCAAAGAGTGCGAGTCAGTCCAGGCAACTCCATCTGAATAAGTTGAAATTACACATTATTAGCCAAACCCTGTAAATGCTATGTAGTTTATAGATTAGAAAGAATAGGGTGGGTCTTTAGTAGATATAGTTGATTTTTTAATAATTTGCATGAGGTTCAAGAATCATAGCAAACGAGAATATCCAGACAATTTGCAGGCATTCGTTAGATTGGTATCTCTCTATAAACAAGCATTTAAAAAATTAACACAAATGTTTATTTGTTCAAGAACTGCTGTAATTGTGGTGACCATCTAGTCACATAGTAACCTTTGTCTTCCCTAACCAGATCTGTGTTTTAGACAGGCAACCATTTAAAACGAGTTCTATTTTCTTCTTTTAAAATAGTCCTTTCAAACTTTCAGAAGGGTCTTTTCCACGTTTCTGCTGATATTTATGGGTCTTTTCAACAACAGAGAGATGATAGGATGCAGAGCAACAGCCCCTAAAAAGCCAATTGCTCAGCCTTTACTTTCTTCATTTACTAAAAGTGAGGACACTTGGTACTTATTACTAGGGATATTAGATACTGGGTAATTGTATAGCCATGTAAGCGCATTAACTCTTATTGGTTACACAACTATTTGATAGTCTCAGGGGCAGGGCTGGCAGCCAATGTGCTCCATTCCCACTCCCGCAGAGCCTCCTGCCACCCTGCACTACTGTCTCTGTATCAGAGGCTGCAGCTCAGGGTGCCAGGCGGGAGCCAGTCCGCAAGGGGAGCCAGTTTAAAAACCAGCTCCCTATGCAGATCAGCTGCCTCAGAATCTGAGCTCTCTGCAGTGGCTTATCAGTTAATAGTATAGTCGACTACATGTTGACATCCCTACTTTGTACATGGATATGGAATGCCTCACTTTCACTGTAGATTTTCAAAATACTTCACAAAATACTAACAGTCTCACATATGTAAATATTATCCCTGTTCAACAGAGGCGGCACTCAGGAAATAGGTTTTGACCATGAGAGAGAGAGAGAAAGAGAGAGATTGAGATGACATGACATGCTTAAATCTGCAAAGAATCTCTGAGCTGGGAGTATAACTCAGGAGTTCCTACCTCCCAGTCTTGGGCTAAGCCCATGCCACAATCTTCAGTTCATTCTGCAATCAGTCCTAGAAAAAGTAAGCCAGCTCCAAGTAGGGGTGTTGACTACCTGATAAGCATAAGCTTTATCGGATAAATGAGTAGTCACTCGACTAGTCGCTTCCCCCTGCCTTGCTGTCTGTATCAGAAAGCAGCAGCAAGGGGGGGATGGGAGAGCAGGAGCCAGTGCAAGGGGGAGCTGGCTTGGAACCATCTCCTCAGGGGACAGGGCAAGCAAAGGCATCCCAACTGCTGCACCTCGTCCTTTGAAATGTACAGGAGCTACAGGTGACTCCTGTACATTTCGAAGGGAGAGGCACAGCACGATAGCGAGCACCCAGGGCTGGATTAAGGCATGGGCGAGCCGGGCAGCTGACCAGGGCACCAACCAATGGGGGGCGCCTGATGGCAGCTATAAGGGGTGCGCAGAGCCCCTTTTAGCTGCCATCAGGCGCCACGCACCTGCCTTCTGGATTGCAGGCTGCAGCAGCTCCCAGCGGCCGCCCAGGGCAGGGGCCGCATTAACCCCCGCAGCGCCGGCCAGCAGCACTCTTCCCCCAGCAGTCGCGGGGCCCTGCATGGCCAGGCTCGCACGGGCACATGCGTTCTGCTGCCACCAGCTCCACGTGCCCTTCCACACACACCAGGCGGGGGCGGGACCGTGCATGCGCCCTCCCCCAACCAAGGGCGCAATTAAACTATCTGCCCAGGGCACCGGAATGGCTCAGTCAGGCCCTGCGAGCACCCCCTTATCAACTAATCAAGCAGTCAATGGAAATTCCATTAACTACTTAATTAGTTGATCAATCAAAATTTAACATCCCTATCTCCAAGCAGGGGCCTGAGTCAAACCCTCCCCACATGGCATTACAATGTTTCTCATCTCACAGTTCTAATCAGATGAAGCCCACCAGTTACATGGGACAGTCAGGTTTTTTTTTTTTTTAATTAATAAAATACAAATGCAAAGGATGGTAGTATTTAGGAACTACAGAAGCCTGACAGGTCCATATGTTTATTAGTCAGACCCACAAAAAAGTTCAAATCTACATCATATTGTACTGATGTAGAACCAGTCATGCTGTATATATTTATTCCTTTTTGCATGACTAAAGATTCCCCAGTGACAAGATCTTCCCGAGCGATTTTAATGGCCAAGCAGTTTCTTTAAAGTCAGGTGAAACGAGATTGATTAGTGTGACAACACCCTAAAGGGGGGAAAAAAAAAAATCAAGCTATAGTTTCAAAGTACAAAGTTACAGACTAGAACTAAACTCTGATCTTTCCCTCTGGAAAAATATTTGTCTATGAGCTTGGGGAGGAGGGGGAGGGCTGGAGAGAGTGTGCGTGCGTGCGGGAGAGTGGGGGAGGATGGTATTTTCACTAGCTCCACACAGGTTTTCCCAAAGCATCTCTCTCCCCCAAGGAATCATCTTTTGGAATTGAACAGTACTGGACATTGTTACACCTTACACATATGAAAACCAAACACTGATGCAAAGAACCATGATGTATTAGGATTGAAGATCATAATGGAGGGAAATATAGATCTGACACACCAGATTATTTTAAAATACAGGCAGTCCCCGGGTTACGTACAAGATAGGGACCGTAGGTTTGTTCTTAAGTTGAATTTGTATGTAAGTCGGAACTGGCGTACAGATTCAGCCGCTGTTGAAACTGACCAGCGGCTGACTACAGGAAGCCCGAGGCAGAGCTGCTCTGCCCC